CGTATGTGGTACAAGAAAAAAGGGTGTCTCTTGTGTTTGTGGGAGAGAAGTGAGCATGTAGAAGTTGTGCATATACTCCATTTGCTGAATGGTGTCCAGGTAGAGTCAGTTAGAGACGCGTCTACCGAGCGGAAACAGGAGACGATAAAGCGTCCTGAATGCGTGGAATGGTGACATTCACCGTTAATGTCAATCCCTTTGTCGAATTCGTCGTGAGCAGGTCGCATTTAGAACTGAATGAAAATGCAACCCCAAAATAACCAGTCCACTGCTCGGCTCACAGAGTGCATAAAATGTAAGCTTGCATGAGCTTCAACTTAGACCGGAGAGTAACTTGAAGCTATTAGGTAGCAAAACAAAGCAAAATATGTACCGAAAGGCCGGATTTATGCCTTTTTAAGAAATCTAAATGAATAATTGTTTTCATTATTCACGCAACCATATATGCTTTTTTTGTGGTATGTGTTCTTGACGGGAGCTCCTGCACCTGTGCAGGTGCCTGGCCAGCTCTGCCTAAGGCAAATGAGAACAGAAAATCGTACAAAATGTCTGCTTTATAAAGAACACTATTGGCTAACTTTTGGAAGGAGAGCCGAGCTCATTGAATCATTTTCTCCGTGAATAGTGGAAAGAACGAAGGATACATGAAAGAGAGATTGATATCAGGTGTCGCAACCAACGCTATCCTTTCAAAGAAGACTCATTTCTGACCCTCGTAGTTGTCTACATTCGGTTGACCGTTTGTTAGTTTTCGATGCTCATGTGAATACTTATGACTATCATGAAGCCCTGTTAATTGCTGATGGTCAGCTCGTCGTTAAGGCTTTTGCATACTGAAGCGAAGTGTGTGCAATCTGCTTAATTCTATTGGCATCAGGGCTGCATGGTACAGCAAATTATGCTGCGAACTTAACCTAATTTCCAATTCACTGTTACATCTTGTAACCTTAAAAGGATATCCTTAATCATTTCTGGCTATTATACAGAGACACTTTTAGCATTTTAGAACAGCACTGCTGACGAAAGCAGGCCCGTTTCTTGGAAGATCTGGACGTTTTGCTGCCTCAACTAAGCCTGACTGTATCTTGTTCTACACATTTTTGTTACTGATTGTGTGTGTGTGGATGGTTCCTCTTACTAGCCGGTCTTTTCGGTCCACATAGTTGGATTTGTAGGATCGTTGGGAAACTGACCTCTAACTGAGGTGTGTCTCAAACCGATGCCGCTGTTGTGCCAAATCGTGATTGCAAGATTTTTCGCTTCCGCATTTTAGGCTACAACCATCCCAACGTGGCCGGTCGTGGTTCGGTTGTCGTCCTCGGGTTCTGTGCAAATTGGTCAAAAACAACTGGTGCCTGGACGACGGCCTCTTGGCAACCGGTCGTCTGCCGGTACCCGCACAATCATGACGGCGCCGAGTAGGTTCATCATATGTGTTGGGTCAATACAACCAAACGAGCTATCACCTTCTAACAGTCCGGCCCCTGCATGCACAACAACATGTCGCGTTCAGTTCCCTCGGTCTGCAAAAGGCTTCCATTCAGAAGGCTCATCTTAAAGGTACAGATTGCACTTAGACAAGGCAGGGAAGCTGAATTGGAACAA